AAAAAAGGGCAAGCAACTGTGCAGAGCCATGCAGCTGATTTAGCTTCAAACAAATGGAAACCATAAAGCACGAACATGAACTTCTAACTTTGAATTAGAATTACCAGTTATATATGAAGTGGTATTAAAAATGGCAGTTGTGTGACTTATAGCAATGCTAAAGTGAGCCTATCATGGGGTTTGTTCATAGGTTTGTTTGTTTGTCTCATCTTTCTCTGAGACTGAGAGAGTGTGACTTTCCCATAGTCACACACTGGGTTTTCATGGCCAAGTGGGAATTCAAATCTTGGTCTCCAGAGAAGCTTCTAAAACTCTCCACCATGCTGCTGGCCACTTTAAAACCTTGCATCACAGACTGGTAAGAACAGCTGAGAGAGGAGCCTCCAGTGAATGGCTGCCTTGGGCTGCCTATAATGTTGGGTCTTTTTCATCACTGCCCCCTCTAGCGTCGCTGTTGCAGAGTTCAAGCCAGAAAGGCAGTCTTGGGGCCTCCTTCACCATCACCCTTGGCTGCTGTGTTCCACTACTGGTTTGTTCAACCACTATTGTCATTGTCGCCCTTGGAGGAGTTGCTGTGGCTTACCATCGCTCAGTATCGAACTTTTATTAGCAAGGTACCCCCAGACTAAATGGACTGGTCTGGGCTAAATAGATGGACCAGTTGGATGTCTTTTTGGGAATCTTTCATCAGCCCCTTGGGCATTCCTTAAGGACAATTGGGTGTGGGATGGATTGGACTAATTTTAGGTGGGGGTGGGCGGTGTGTGACAACATTTTGAGCGTGTTGAGCTGTTATTTATCAGGTTTTGGGCTGTTTAAGCCACTGGACTGTAAGACCTATAATCATGCTCCAATGCAATGTAAGTTTGATATGTCTGAAATGTTTTAATATATTTTAATACATTTTAATCATTTGAAAGACTATTTTAATTAATATGCATGTGTTTTTTACAGTTTTATAATATTGTGTTCTATTGATACTGTTATTATCTGAATCTAGCATTGAATTATTGCCATAGTTTGTAAGCCGCCCTGAGTCCCCCTTCGGGGTGAGAAGAACGGGGTATAAGTATAGAAAATAAATACAAATAAATAAATAGTCCCCCACTCATACCACTATACTACATTGGCTCTCACAAAAAAAATCGTAGGCAGACCTATTATTGACAGAGACTTCCCAACAACATATACAGTATTTTGTATATTTTATTATCAGTCCAACAGGCAAAACCAGAAGGGAGACCACTAGGGTGCTAAAGGTATATTCACTGGAATGGTCAGGCAAATTATTTCTGAATATATCTTGCCTAAAGAAGATACCATGAAATTCATAAGGTCACCTGAAGGTAACCTGAAGACACATACTATGATTTCTGTCAGAAGGTATATTTTCAGAGTACGACAGGAGTTAAGAACACTTTCACTAATAGTATTTGCAGAAAAGGTAACCTTTCTTTCAAACCCACACCAATCAATTGTCATTCATGCCTTTATGACCTCAATGCTAGAAATGTAGGACTGCAGAAGGCGAAGCTAGTGATAAATGTGGTGGACTAATTGGGGAGGTTGCTGTGAACACACTGGTTCCTTTAGCCTTATAGGCACAATTCATGATGTTTGCTTTGACCTAAAAGAGGATTTTTCCATTGTTGATAATTGCCAGATTCTTTACTTTAATACCTGATAAACTATTTTCTGAATGTACAAGATTTTAGACTAATTTTCTACAAAGGAGGGATTTTAATTAGCTTAAAGCCATGAGAAGAGGAACTAGTACCCTCTCCCCAGCACTGCAGTTTCAATCTGATTCAGGACTCCAAGGAATTGCTACTCATTATAATAAATAAAAATGCAGTGGATCCTAATGAAAGTAATCAGTAAGAGGCCACTCTTATATCACACTAAACTGATTATTGCTGATAACAACTGTGAAGTCAGCTTTAGCTTAAAGCAACCTTATGAATGAGACACCTTCAAGACAGTTGGTTATTAATAGTCCTGCTAGTCTTATGAAGGCATGGCCATGACTTCCTAGATTGAATCAATTTACCTCTAATGTGGTCTTCATCTCTTCCTATTGGCTTCAACCTTATGAAGCATCAAAATCTTTTCTAATGAGTCATGTCATCTAAAGACATATTCAAAGTGTGACATTACATTTTTTATAAATAAAAAATCGATTGAGGCTCGGCATAGTGTGGTAGATTGAGCACTGGACTAGGACTGTGCAAGACCACAGCTTAAATTCACACTCAATGTGGAAGTCATGTTCTCTAAAAATAAGGGGAAGGCAATAGCAAACTTTTCTGAATAAATCTTGCCAAGAAAATTTTATGTCAGAGTTGCCATAAACTGGAGTTGATTTGAAGGCAATAAAGAAAAAAAAATCCCAAAAACATTAATTAGCAACCACAGCTCACTGACAGGGTCAGTTAATGATGTATTTATAAAAAATCTATATTGTTAAGGCAGTAATGTTTACATACACTTGGGGTTAAACACTTTAATTTCCCCATTTTCTCCAATGACAGGAAATAAGGAAGTCACATTCTTAAAATGTGGTAAACAAATGTTTTGTATCAGTGAAAGCCTTTTGATTTCCATGTCTTTCACTCCTACTGCATTCATTGTTTTTGAAAAATTATCAACAACCATAAAAAATTATATCATCGAGCAGTGCAGTGTTTTATTACAATAGCCCATGTCCTGAATGCATGCCTAAGGCCATAATGTTTTCTCAGCCACACGGCTTCATTTTCAATAAGCAGACTACAAGGTTGATGAGACCTTTGAACCATCAATACAATTTGTTGCCCTGATCTGGCACAGAGTTATTCAAACTCAGCAGGATATATCTGCCCACTGAAGCAGGTATCTAGTTCAGATGAACGCATGTGGACTGAAATTTTGATCTAACTGCCACTAAAGTAGCTGGATAATCATTTTGATGCAGGCAGGAATATGCATCCCTGTCCCAGGTCAATAATAATTTCTTCTTAACAAAATCATTGTGTGGACATTGCCCTGCTGCTTTCAGGGAAAAAAATTAAGGTGATTCACTGAAATAAAAGTTGAGGTAAACAGGACAAAATGATGTATAAATTGGCATAAATCTCCATGATACGAGAAATGGGTATACATACACCTTTTCTTCATGAATTCCTGTACCAGTAATTAAGTGTTACAGGAAAAAGAGAGGACCTTGTTGAGTTCCAGCTCTGCAGAATGTCTCCCATCTGATGTGCACTTTCAAAACCACCTATCACTGGTTCTGTATCAACTGTTCTGGCTCCTGATTTGTTTCCAAACTAAATTAAAAGCACAAGGTTTGATCTCTCAATGGCTTGGGACCAGGGTATTTGGTAAACCCATTCCCATATGAACCTGTCCTGAATTTGGAATGCTCAATAGAGGCCTTTCTGCATGTCTAACTTCTACAAGAAGCTACGCTGGTGAGTATGCAAGACAGTATACAAATTTCTCGGCAGCAGAACTCTTTGACCGTCAAACATCCCAAAAAGGAAAGTTAAGAGTGCCTCCACATTTCCTGAGCTTCTGGAGGCTGCTCAAACTGGCTTTTAGGGTCCTTTGGTTCCTAAAATTGACATTAGATGTTGGATTACGTTGAGTTTTCAATGTTTTACAACTTTTAAAAATGGTTTTGATTGGTTTTCAAAGAAAATTCTTGTCTGTTGTGCATTGCCCACAGTCGTGGATATCTAAGAGGCAATACATTAATATCCAAATAAATAAATTCTTGACATAATGGAAGAGAATGGAATAATGCTTTGGCAGGTCTTCTCTCTTCCATGTAACATTTTCCTCTTCTCAGAAAATAGCTATGCTGTTTTCATTTTTATAAAATAGATATGTACTGTGTAAGTAGACTACATAAGAATTAAAATATTGTTTAAAATGTGAACTAGCTTGCCAATTTTAAACTGGATGAAGAGTGTGTACATACTTACTCTTTTATGGATGTTGGTATGTATGCTCTCAAATTTATGCATAAAACATAGCCCTATATGTTTGTTCTCTCTCACACACTCACACTCACACACACTTGCAATCCTTCTCAGATACGTACAAAGATATGCTCAACCATTTAACGACAAAAGATAGGTCTCCAGTAGGCAACAACATCACTGAGCAATGGCAAAACAAAGCTAATCAACAAGTAAATATTGAAAGATAATAAGATTGATGGATGTTCAAATTAAAATATAGAAATACACCAGATAGTGAGAAAAAAGAGAATAAGCATCAATTAAGTCACATTTTCTTCCTTGCACAGAATTTAAACCATGGCATAGATAATTAACAGTCAAACTAACCTTGCCTAATTTTACTCCAATTAAAACAAAAACATATCATATTGGATGAATTAAAGGTTCTTCGTTGCTTTGGTACAGGAGTAGGCAAAATCTAGCATGCCATGATCAAGAACCGAAAACGAAGAGGTTTTATGCTCTACATCAAGGAAACTTTGAAATACTTAAGTTTCCTATAACTGCAGCAAATTACCATAGCTACGAGGCACAAAAAGAAAATGGAAAAAATCAAATAAAAACAGGATCTTCTTAAGTTAGTTATGTCCACATACAATTTAAACAATTGGTAATAAACCAGGTTAAATAAAGGGTTTTTAAACTTGACAATTAATTTACAAGTTCAAGATTAAAGAAAAACATAGTTACACTGATCATTAATATACTTCCAGTATACATGATAACATATTTGCAAATACTCAAGTGTCACCTGTATTTTATAATGTAAAAGCAAGTATCAAGGTAAGGAAAAATAAATAAAGGAGAAGTTTAATTGTATTTGTCCAAGAGATAAAAAAAAAATCCTTAACATCTCAAATTTTCTAAAATTTATCTTTATATTGTTTAATAAATAAAAGGAAATGATAAGCTGTTACAATGTCTATCCCATAAGTCTATCAATTCATTTGGTTTCTTGAAAGAATCAGTGTAAAATTCCAAAAAAGGACTTACCTAACGTGTCTTTCAGATTCTTAACCAAAGAACCCTTCTTCAAGCTGTTCTTTCTCTCGACATAATTTGATGGCACGTATCCTGTTTTGTTGGCTGCATTTCTTACCCTCCACCATGTTTTGGAATCATCTAGCAGCCAGAGGCGCTCATTCTTCTTTATGTCAAGTTCTTGGTCCTGTTGCGCAGTGTAATCCCACTTTGCTATAACAATAACTTCTTCTGTCATCTTTCATGGAGTCCCTCTGTCATAAAACAAACACATTCATTGAAACACTGCATGTGTTCAGCTCTCATGCTTTGAACATTAATGCTTGAAAACATAAAAGAAGCTTTAAACAGAACTTGGTTGCAAACAGCAGCAAACTCATTTTATTTTTGATTTGGCATTAAACCACAACGGCTCCTGTAATGTCCTCAAACCAGCATGACCTGCTGTTAACGACAATGGGAGGATGTGGCACTATCTATGCATCCTATTATCTGCTGCCCATTATTCCATTTCAGAACTCCACTTCTAGATTCCTTTGTGTAAAATCTTGTTCTTTATAAAGGAGGCAGAAGACTTTCCATGCTCTGTCTGGTCCAAAATTTTACAATGACCGTCTTCCCAACCACTGTGCCATTACTTCCACTTCTTATTTATGGGAGCTTTCCCTACACTGCAGACATTTAATTTGAACCACAGAGCTAAAGAAGATTGGATATTGGGTTTGTTTTTCTGCGACTGATCAACTTCTGTCTTTTAAGAGAAACTTTAAAGTCTTGTATTAAAGTTCACTATCAAATCTACAAAAAAGAAGAAAATGCTAAAGTTTCATGTCACAAGCAAAAACACCAAATTTTACAATGAAAAAACCAAGACATGAGACAAAGTGAAAGGAAGCACAACAATGTTAAAAACCAGTCACGAAAAGCTCCATATTTAAGAACTTACACATTTTATTGGAATTTCCATATTGATATATCAGAATTATAAACTCAAGCCATGAATGTGATTGATATATTTAGACAAAATTTAAAAGTATTTCCCAGAACTCTGTGAGCATGTTCTTTTAACAGTTCTTTAACAGAAGCTTCTTTGATAATGACAAGTAGACAATACACTACTTTGCTTCTGAAGGATGTGGGAGATATACATGGGTATCTCATACACAATAATATATATTGTGTGGGGGGAGGGAAGATGTCTTACTCGCTCAATTTCCTTAATACTGAAATGTTCTAATAAAAAGGCAATGTGAACAGTTTATATATACAGAGCTTCCAATCACCTTTTCCCAGAAATGCCAAGGGTGAAGAGAGAGTCAACAGAGACAAGTAAAGATAAAGGGAGTTGCAAGAATAAGGAAGTTTACTGAATATTAGAATGTGGCATATTTTTATAGGACTATAAAGCATAATACAACACAAACAATGTCACATTAGTTCACTAGGAAAGAGACTTAAAGGCAAGAGCAGTTGGCTTCATTAGGACCAATTACACTATAAAAGATATGAGCTTTTTAAAAATAATCATCTGAGAATGATTATTCTACAAACTATTGTAGTTTGCTTGAGGGAGATATCAACACACACACTATTTTCTAGGTTACACTATCCAATACAGTCTTAAAAGAATGCTGCTTTTGAATAGTCACTTTATTTTTTGTTTTCTATATTCAAGCAATAAAACTGCTTCTTCAAGAGAAGAAACGTATTGTGGAACTGTCGGTAAACAACTTATCCAGTTTTCAGAATATTTCTCCATTAGAATTATGCAACAACAAAGCAAAATTTCTGAACAAAGCTCAACACGCTTCAATTACAAAACAAGCTACAGGTCAACAATGAGATCGCCACAGGGAGATTACAGCTGAGCCTGCTCTGGATCCTCTTATTGTCAATAAACATTTAGATTAATTTAAATCATTCTGAGCAAGGACAGCTGAAATTGTCCATGATCAATTACTGCAGTGTCAACATGAAAAGCTAGCAGATTATCATCACTAAGGGTAATTTAGGACATGACCAACACAACACTTACCATACAACCAAACAATTATCAGGATAGAAAGAAGTTAAGTTGTAACCTAAGAAAGAAAACAATAAGATATAATGTAATGTAAGTGGAGTCAGCTTTAGCCAGTTCTTAGAAGGAAGACTGCCAATGAATACCAGCAACTGTAGGCTATATTTTAGAGGAAAAAAACCTGACAAAACCACTTCTGAGCATTCCCTTTCTAAGAAAACCTTATGAAATCCATCAAGCTGGTGTAATTTCACAGGTAACTTGAAGAAAAACAAAATTTAAACAAGGCAATCTTAGCTACAACCATAATCTTTCCGATTTTGGACAGTTCTGTATTTTTGAAAAATACAGTCCAACTCTCAGATGAACTTGGGACAGACTTAACTGCTAACTCACCCTTAACAGAGTCAGAAACCTATCTCAAGAAGGGATGTTCCAGAATCTAACCCTACTGCTCTTCCCCTCACTGGGATGTCAGCAATGGTAGTACATATGCTTAAAGCTTACTAGGGATTTTCTAACAATTTTGAGATTAAAAATCTATAGCACAGTAGGAATACAGAAGCCGGTAAACTTCTACAACCTAAAAACTTAAGCGAGAGTGGATGAAGTTTGGTTCTACTTTGCTTTTTATTAGAACCTTGACACATACCACTTTTAACCTTGATGCAACAGATGGACATTCAGAATTAAAGAATTCTGAATTCAGGAACTTGAGCACCAGAATTGAAATAAAGCTTGAATCTACTTCTTGACAGTTATCAATTGTCTTCTTCATTTCTACAGTATAATTTAGGATTGGAAGGAGACCATTTCTTCTTTCATCTATTTTAAAACACTGGCAAGCAGAAAATCAACCAGACATACACCAATGGACCTTGACTTAAGCCGCACATGACATGTGATATATTTTTTCTTTTATAAATTACCTCTAAACTCTCTTCTTAAATGCCTATGTTTTTACATTTTGAGTAAAAAAACAGACCGAAGACATAAAAACACTTGGTTTTTGCACTGAATCTAAGTTACAAATATTTAGCATACCTCACTCTACTATAGGAGTGTAAAGTAAACATTTTCTTTGCTCTACCTTAATATAAATACATACAATTTTCTTTCTGCAATTACAACTACTAAAATGCGGGTATAACAAAGATAAGAGAAGGTAATCCTGTTATAAACAAATCTGTTGTAGGTCACTACTGTGTGTTACAGCCAGATACAATTCCAATATTGTGAGCTAAATCCAATATTAATCTTAAATACAGTAACTCTATTTGCCAATAGGAGTAATATAAGCACTATATTGATCTCAATAGGTCTATTGGACAAATGAATTTAGTTTTAACATTTTCGGCAATTGCATCACCTATTATAGAGAAATATAATAGGAAAACCTTGTTAAATGTCCCTACCTTGTTCATTGTTTCACTGAAAGCAGATGTGAGTGCTTAGTTTTACAGTATTTGTAATGTTAAGTAACACCTGCTCTTCTCTCCAAGTATGAAATACCAGACACTCCAGAGAACTTGCATATCTTTTCTTGCACATATCTGCTTACAGGAAACCTCAAAGTTAGCTTACCCTTGAGGCAACAAAAATATACAGTTCTCTTACAAGAGGAAAAAATCTGTTGCATGCACCACGAATGGTACAGCAATTTTGTACGCACACATTTTATACACATGTTCCTTAAAAAGCACTACAATATTCAAAACACCACATTGCTAAACTTTAAATAAGGTATTAATTGCATGAGTGAAAAAGATTACTACAATAGTCTTCTTTTCTCTCATTTATCCATGGATCCCCATGCAAGTGTGACAATAAGAAACATCTAGAAGTAGTGTTTTCTCAATCTGTTGTCCCACTTCCAAAGAAATGCTGAGAAGATGCTCACTCACACATTGCACAAGTCTGCAATCCCCTTCTTTGGTCCAAACTTGTAGTTTCAAGCCTGTGAACTGCAGGTCAAGAGATACCTTCAGCTATCTGATGTGACAGAACAGCACAGTTCCCTGCTTCTTCCCCATTGTGCAGGGAATGGTAGCATACTGATTCCTTCTTTTCCTGGGAACTTGCTGTGATCAGTAACAACTACTTTTGAGTAGCAATGATAATGATCTAAACAGACAATTGTGTTGGAGGTCAAAGAAATAATCTCCAAACACCCCCTGCACACTCTTATCCAGTACAAAACTAAATGATTCCTCCATCCTGTCACTGTCAGTCAATTATATGCATAAGAAACTTGTGGTCTCCAAGACATTACTTTATGGTTCTATTCATGGTACTTTTACTTAATCCAATTGCCCAGTGAATTCAAATGCACCAATGCATCCAGCTGGCTAAGTCAGAAGAGTAACTATAGTAGAATCCTGGACCTTCCAACTCCCAACAGCCATAAATTCTGGAATTTTAATTCCAAAACACTTGGAGGACCAGAGTGATTAGTCAGATGTGTATTGCCTAATTATCACAGCTATGTGGAAAACACTGATAAAAATCAAAATTCTGAAAAGAATATAACCCTAACACCTTAGTATCCTGTTATGTTCTCAGGTAGATCCAAAACAAATTCCTCCAAACTTACTTTTGTTTTTGGAGAAACATTACCACTTTCAAAAATACAGAAGACAAATACTAGGGAGTCCCATACATTTATCTCAATCACAGAAAGAAGTACTTATCTAAGAATTACCCATTCTTAATAGAAAATCTAATTAAGATACCATCACTTGAATATATGCACATTAATTCCACTGATACCAACATTATTCAAACAGTAACTGGAACAATGAAAAAACAAAGAAAGACTAAGCCATTATTTTTTCATGATGATAGTATTGATAATCCAATTTAACCGAAAACTGCATTTTGCAATAAGGTATTTTAGTATATTTCAACCCCTAGATTCAGCATGGTACTTTGGTACCCAGTGTCAGCAGAATTGGGAATTCCTTCCCTTTTGGAGATATGAAGACTTGGAAACATCCAGAAAAAAATAGGGAAATTGGGATTTCCATTTGTTTCTAAAGCCTTTTCCCCAGAAAAAAAGGATATGTCAGTGTGATTAATATTAACAAGTAATATTAGGTTGTGGTAATGTCAGTAGTTATTATGGAATCATTCCAATAAAAATATTATACTAGGAATGTTTATTATTTTTCCTTTTGTCTCTACATATGAAGGCACTTGATGAGCAACTTTAAATATTTGATGAACTTTGGGGTTTAAATTTAAAGTCTTGGTGATCTGTGGCATGGTAAAGACCAGGTTTATGGGAGGAAAGACCAGTCCATGGTAAAGACCAGGTTAAGAGCTGGTGGTATATCCATATCTAAAACTGAGCGCCTTGGGATATTCATTCATATGTTCAAAAACCCTGCTTCACAACCTATACCAAGACTGGAGCTAACTAATTCAGTAAACCATCTTGATGCTCAGCTCTATTATTAATTTTGCTGAGTTTCTTACAAAAATTTAAAACACCTGACTATAAAAATGTGCAGTTAATATTCAGCCAGCCAAGTTCCCTAAAGATACTTGGGTTTATTACCATAGGCAGAAACCAACCCTTTGAAATTGATGAGGGTAAACTGAAACTTACTAAGCAGACTTACAGTTTATAAAATAACTACCTGTAATGTCCAGCACTGCAGGAAAATCATTAACCATAGTTAATGACAGTTCAGCTTCAACAGCTTTGAAGAATTACTGCCTGTCCCCTTTGGATGTTCAAATCTTACTTAAGGTGTACTACAGTCTCAGTTGTCCTTGAGTAAGTGTGCTTCTTCAAAACCAGCTGGTAAATACACTACTCTGTTTTATTCATACTACTCTGTACAAAATGGGGAAAAATACCCACTCTCTATTTTTAAGTCAAACAATTTCAAACACATTTTCCAAATTTGGTGAGAATCTCTCCATGTGTTTTCATTTAACGTGACATCAAATGGACAGAAAGTTAATTTTATTTGTAAAGAAATACTGATAATTGTATAAATAGAGATCAATTCTTTCCTCAAGTACAAGTTTATAAATGGTAAAAATCCAACAGTATGATTTGTTTTCCTCTAAAAGCTTGAGATCTTATAACATGAACACAACTACTGTACAAACTCTTTCTGAAAATCAAATTCTCAGGTTGTGTGTCCATGTGTATAAGTAACACCAAGGTAATTCCTTACTGAATCTTCTTTAAATGATTCCCCACCACCTAATCAACAGATCACTGAAGATATTTAAATGAACCACTTGTTACTTATTTGTGTGCTTTTTGAACAATTTATGTCCCAACTTCTACCATAAGGTCTCTGGGAAGTTTAAAATAAAAAGCTCATTAGCTAATCTCCACCCGAACTATCAACCTTCTTCAATTAGGAGACTTATCAACAGAGATCCCCCATAGTGGATGATTTTGTTGTAGCAAACAATTTTTCTGGTTTCAGAAGATCATATTAATCATGCCAGAATCATTTTAACAGGTTCCTTAAAAAATCATAATCTCCCTTTCTCCCAAGATGGGGTTCAAAGAGGCTTTCAACAGGTGTTAAAACAAAATCAGTAAAACAATGTGGTACAAAACTTTAAAATTAATGAAACAGTCCAATTAAAATGCTATGCTTAAGAAAATAATATAAAACACATACAACAATATTCAAAACTAAATATTGTACATCCCTGCCAAAGCATTTGTTTGCAATTTCAATTATTATGTAACACCTCCTACTGTGAAATACATTCTCCTCCTAGTTTATTGTGTGCAAAGCATCCAAGAAGGTAAAGGGGGGGGGGGGGGCAGAATTCAATGATGACACCCTGTTCACACAAATGTAGTAAGTGGGGAAAACATACTCCTGGTAATAATATTCCTTCCTTCCTTCCTTCCTTCCTTCCTTTAAAAAAATTCCAAAAATAACACAAGAAAAAATACAATCAAGAACAGAAGCCACAACACAGTCAACAATGATATACTAACATTAATTCCAAAAATCAGTTGTATTCATAAACCTTACAAAAAGTATTTTCAATAGCATAAACAACTTAACTCGAAAATGA